TTTCAACTTTATAGGTTCTGGATTTTAGAACGACGGTTTCAGGTGCTAATAAACTGGATTCTAAATTTAATGTGTACATATATAATGAATTTCATAACACAAATACATTGTTTGAGCAAAAGCTAATGGATTCGGCCCCTATATGCAGCGGCGGAGGCACAAGCCGAACTCAGTAGCTTTTGCTCAAACGGTATATTTGGTATTTTTGAATTCATGAAATATGTATAAATATTAAATGAAGAACTCAGTCATTAACACTAGAAGTCATGATCCCAAAATCCAGAATCCATAAAGTTGAAATCCTGGCTCAGCCTCTGCCTATATGGGCTTCTACTTCCGCTCGTGCTCCCAATTTACTGTTCAATAATTTTTCCTCAACAAAGAAAAATTTTTCTGTTCTATCCAGGCACATCCTGATATGTCACAAGAGGAGAAAGCATTGGTGTGCAAATACCTCAATTGCCAGAAACTTTCACAAGAAGTGTGCATTGAAGCAGTTCAAAATGATTTGATGCCATTGAGACTTATTGTCCAAGCGCTGTTCGTTCAGCAACTAAACACACAACAAGCTTTTAAAGAATGTTCAGACTCGTTTCGTTATGTTCATTGTGGAGAGTACTCAGGAAGCCTGTCGAGTACAATATATGCAAATTCCAGAAGCCAGAATTTGGTAGAGAGTCCATATATGGAAGGAAGCGAAGGCGGAAGCAAACCACTAAGCTTCTTGTTAAAAGATTCAGCAGTGCAAAAGTCTGAATTCTCGAAAAAGGAATATGAATCCACTAGCTTCAGAATCCAAAATCTTGAACACGAATTAATATCCTTGAAAAAAACGCTTCAACTACAGCACATTTCTAAGCAAACAGAAACCATTTCCAAGAAAGTTGAACCAGTTTCTGCAGATTATCAGAGCCTGAGACCATACGGTTTAGAAGGAAGAACACCAAGCAAGAAGAGGAGTAACCCCATTGGACAAGTGACTAGTTGCATTGGTTCTGTGAATTTGACCTCCCAACGACGATATGTTACTAGGTTACTGAAGGTTTTTCGGAGGATAAGTTTGCTTGGCAGAGGAAAATCAAGAAAAAAGTCAGGTGGCAATGGCCTTAGGCCAAAGACATTGAACTTTTGAGATACTCATGTAATTGCATTGTTGGTCAAGAACCGTCGAATATGACACAGTATACTATTTTCCAATTTTGATGTAAGAAAGTTCGGGTAAATAGCAAAAATAAGAACATGTTAGTGGACGTTGATATTATAATGAATCATAAACAGTTGCATTTTATGCAGAGTTGTAGGTTGGCTATGTTCTTTTGTTGGACTTGCGCAATAACCAAACTGTTTTCATATGCTTTTGTTTCCTTGAAAATGATAATTACAATTAGATTTGATTTTATGGTTCTAAAAATATGTAATTTATTTTTATGCTAGTTGTTAGGCAATTGATGTTAAGCGAAAGACTTGGAAAATAAGATAATAGCTTGAAAACAATGTGATAATCAAACCGAATGGCTAATAATCGGGGCCTCGAGCTCGCGTATGCGGGGCCTCGAGGTCGAGTCGGATGCCCTGTCGAGGGTAGTCGATGGAGGACTAACAGTTATGATGGCTTTGATGGAAGCCTTTTATGACCAATAATGAGCAATAAATGAAGAACAATAAATAGAACACAATGGATATAAGCAATAAATGAAAGTAATGGGATAAAGAGAATGTTCTTGTATATTCAATATTTGAGCATCATGTCCCTTTACAAAATGACAAGGGTCTCCTTTATATACGAGGGAAATCCCAACATAGTACAAATGCATGTGTAATTATTATATAAAATAGCTGGTACAACCACTTGATTAGCCTGGTATAGACTGTCACTGTTTGCGCAGGCATTTGTCAAAAAATACAGCTCCTAGAGGACTTCCCGCTTATCGGCAATAAACACCGGTCCATTCTGCCCCGATACCGGGCACGAGGACTCCCCGAAGGCATTGAACCCCAGGCTATCCTCCGGGACCTTCGAAGTGAGATTGCGTAATGCCTTGTCAATTGTAAAATTGGTCTTTCCCATTTTAGCCGTATACAACAACAGAACTCCATATTCTTTTCCTACAAAAGAAGCCTCTTTTCCAATAAGAGGAAATTATCTCCTATGCCCACTTACGCTACAAAGATCTCATGTGTTTTATTTGTAGATATCTTGTGTTGTTTTCATTCATCTCCCGTGAAAAAGGTCTAGTAATGGACTACAAAATCAAATCTCCCACCAAATAATCTGATACCTCATGGTCAAATCTATCAACAAGGTTGTAGCATCCAAATGATATGCACACTCATGGTCAAACTGGCCAATCACAACAGTCTCTAACAAAAACCACTGCACATCTTGTATCTTTATTTGACTAAATAATAATCACCTCGTGTTGCTTATACAGATAAATTAAGTACCAAAAATACAAAGACAAGTTGCTTAAACACAAATCAATGATAACGTATTAGTGAAAGGTATGTCGCTAGTTGATGTTCGGTCAAAAATGCATATATTTAATCATTGTTGCCTCATATTCTGACACTTTTTAATTATCTGTTGAGTATTAATTATATTACTTTATGCTTAATATTATATTTTAACTGTGTTGGATTAAAGTAGGGTGAAGATGAAGAAATTTGAAGCAAAATTTAATAAGACGCGTAAATTAAAAAATAATAATAATAAAAGAAAGGAAAATAAAAGAATTTAATATAGGGAGACAAAGGGGGACACCCTTTGGGTTTTGTCCCCCAAATGCAAGACAAAAAGAAGAGAGGAGGAATTACATTGTTGAAGTGAAATTGAAAAACGTTACTGCTTTGTGCGCCAGGGCCAGCGCTAGGCGCTGCCTGGACGCTCGGAGCGGGGACTTGTCCTATTTAGTTCGGGATTTGGTTATTTTGGCTCTACACATCTCCAACTTGTATAAAAGGGGTCCTAAACCTATTTTAGAAGGAGGACGTTTTTTAGAGAAAAGCACAAGTATAGAGCCGTCATGAATGTCAAAATTCATCAAGTTCCATCTTTTCTTCCATCAAACTTAGTAATTTTTATTTTGTTGTTTTGCCACCATGTCTATGTGGAGCTAAACTTCACGTTCTAGGGTTGTGGTTCTTTCATGAATATTGTTATTCGGATATTGATTTTGATTTCTTAGTTTATCATATTAGTTTATTTATTCAATCTTGCACTTAATTATTTGGTTGTTTGATCACCAATTGAATACTATCTACGAATCTTGAATTTGAACTCGAAAGTAGGACTTCTAGATTGCATATAGGATTGAATAGAGCAAGTTCTTGAACCTGGGCATCGGGGAACGGATTCGCGGTTAGGATAGACATATACATAATTGCCTTGCTTGGTTGATTTACAGGAACTATAAATGCGTTCTTGTTGATTCTAACTCCATAGACATATAGGCGTTAGGTTAGCTTGAATAGGCGAGTAAGAACTCGACAGATTCTTATGAGCAATATTAAGCCTGTCAACCAATAAGCTAGATAAATTAGTCAGTCAATTCAATTGAAGAATACAATAGGATTGTTAGATAGCCCATAACCCTAGATCGTTTTCATTACATTGATATCATAAAAATCTGTTCTTCCTCTGTTTAAAGTTCATTATTTATATTTCTTTATTTAATTAGTTTAGAATCAAATATTTCTAGGTTTAATTCTTGTTTAGATAATTAGGATCGTTTAATTTAGTTAATAGTTAATCACAAGTTCTCATGGGTTCGATATCCGACTTTTAGTCACTTTATTACTTGATGACCGTGTAAACTTGCGTGTGTGTTTGGCCACAATACTGATCTAAGAGGCGACCTACTGTTAAGTAGGTTTTGCCGTGGCCTTCATTTTTTGGCCGAGATGGAAATCACTATTAAATCATCTATTTAACAAGCAAACTACCCGTAAATGGACAAAAAAAATTATAACACATTACTGGAGTTTAGTTCATTTTACAATCCATTTATATCACAGACACGTTCACCTCCCCTATGTTTTGAAATAGAGAAAAGAAGAGCAGCGGAAATTAAGAGCAAATGGAAGAGAAAACAGAGAAATTAAGTAGTATCTTTCCTTTTATTTTAGTTGAGAAATAAGACAATAAAAGAAAATTAATTTTTAATTTCATTAGCTTAAATTGGTGGATCTAAGAGGAAATTGATTTTATTTTCCTTAATTTCTTTCCTCGTATTCTTATTAACCCAAAAAGAACAGGAAAAACTAATAAGTTCCCTTCCTTTTTCTTTCTCTAATTTCCAAAGAAAAAAAAGATTCTTAATTTTGTTAAAATAATTATTTGTTGGTTCTTTTCTCTTGGAGGTATTTCATTTGTGGCTTCCACAAATTGTTGTGCTTTAGAAGTCTTGTCATAATCACAGTTCTAACTTCTACGCGCTTAAGCTCCATACAGTTGATACAAAATTCTCCCTATCAGATATTCATTAAAAAAAAATCTCGTGAAACTAGGGAAAATGACAATATAGCCACTCTTAAATAATAGCCAAAAATATATATATTTTTTGTATAATTTTTTATATATATACATTACATATACATAATGTTATATATAAAAAATTATACAAATTTTATACATTTTTTCAACTACCAAATGTAAATAGTTTCTGGCACAGACTAAAAATGAAAAAAGCCCGTGAAACTACGCATTGTTTTGGATGATGGATAGCCATTTCCGAATTGCAATTTACAAATGTAAGGGTGATCGGAAACTAAGCATAAGCTAACAAATAGAAACAAATTCAGAGACGGGGAAACTTCCCAAACCAAATGACGTAATGACAATAAGCTGACAAACACTCCTTTCTAATTTGTTTGTGTAACCTGAAACAAAAGCAGGGCAGCTTTTAGATTATAGAGGAAATTAGAGAAAATGTACCATTTTCAGGTACGAGTACCACCTAAATACAAGCAACATTAGTAACTTCTGCCTCAGCCTTCCTAGATCAATCAAAACATTCAAATTTGATTCAACAAAACAGTCATTGTGAGGATTGAACCGAAAACAGAAACACGTATTTCAGACACTCAAGTACGATCTAAAGATGGTATTGGTATATAGAACTCATCCTTTACCCCACTCTTCAATGCAATCAAATTCTTACTTGCCCCTTAAGATCGCAGCAAGCAGATATCAGGGACCTCTAAACATGGAGCAATTTCACACTTCCAAGCAAATCTTGTAGAAGATAAAATATACAGTAAATTGTAACTCCAAGATACTGTAATAAAGAAGTTACAGATATCATTCATGCTGACATTCTGTAGGCTTGACCTGCGATGGCCATAACTGAGACAACGGTTTCCCTTTCTGGCATGCCATCATACAGTCAAGAACAACTTCTCTGAGCTTTTTCTCTATATCTACAACTGGAAGGGTTGCATCTATAACCTGCAATAAATCACAGAAACAACATTAGCAAGGCAAAGCTATCTCTAATGCTTCGATCAAAATCTGATCACTTGATGTTTGGTTCATGAATACAAGTGAATTTATGTATTCAGAGAAGACAAAACAGGAATATGATCAGTAGCATTTAATGAATGTCAGATACTAAGAGCTTTACATGTTTTTGTTTAGTTACCATAGGCATGCTATATTTGATACAAAAAAATTGATTGTAAATAATCCGAACTAACTCCAAAAGTACTGTTACCACCTATTGTGTTATAAGAGTAGTTGCTATACTAAAACAAGTAACAACCATTTCTGTTTCCATACACACAAGGATAACAACAAGTCACCTTCCATGAGGGATCACAAAGAGCTGAGTAAGATCTGGCGACCTTTTCCTGAAACTCAAGCTGCTCATATCTTTCACCTCCATAACCTCCTCTTTCAGCAGCTTTCTAGTTGTTATGAAATCAAATCATAAATACAGTCATATTAACAACAAAGGAAAGCATTTTCATACTCATTAAAAAGAAAATATTGCGGATTAAGAATAGTTAACATGTCAACTGTCTCAATAAGAAACCTGAAAATATAAGTAAAATATAACAGATCATCCTCAATAACAGAGTATAAGGAAATTGCACTAACGATATCTCTGAATTTAGACAAGTGAAAAAGGAAAATAAACAAATCGAAACTACCTCAGGTGATATGTCGAGGTATGCAACCAGATCTGGAGCTAACAACCCTATTTCTGGAGCCTGCAGTAAAAGATCTCAGTATTAAACTTGCTCGGAGATGAAATTGCAACATCAATCAAGTAAAGACATGATTTTACCTTACACCATCCAATATCAAGTCCTTTGGCAGATGAAAATGCCACCCCAGAATAAGAATAGCGATCAACAATGAGAGTAGTTCCACTCCTCAGCTTGTCCTCCATTAATGATCTGTAGTTAGCTGACAGAAATTAAAACTTTCCAGGCACATCAGGCTAAAGAATGTAACTACAATGATTATGAGCCAACTCGCTGCAAATTTTCAAATATACTACCTGACCTCGAATGAAAAATGTATGCAGCCAAACCGAGTAAAACTTCTCAGTTAAATGACAGTGGTATATAAGGATTTTAAAAGCAGAATTCAATTTGTGCAATTATACTTCTCTATTTTCATCAACACCCTTGCTTGAGAACAAAACTATAAAGGGAACAGAAAAACTTAAAAAAAAAAAACATATCATTTGCTTATGCTTTTTGGTTAGAACTCCCAACCATCTTACCTGAATTACCAACATTGAATTAATCGAGGAAAAAAAGGCATATGAAAATATTTGCTCATCCAAACTAGTTCATCTTTTGAGTTTATTATTAAGCACTGTTATTATTTATTAGTTGAAGACCACAAAATAAGTTTCATGCTTTCTGATATTTAGATTGACAAACTAAATTATCCTCACATTTTCCTGGCAAATGACAATCATAGACAGACAACTTGTCATGGATTCTTCAAACTGGTAGAGTAGGAAGTCTACGTCACTTAATTCCTTTTCCATCCATTCTACAATGTTATTTTCATTTTCTTGGTCCGCAAGGAAAGGTCTTCTTTATCAGTTTGAAGATAGCAAGGAAGAAACTGGGAATTATTAGCAAAAGATAATGCATTCCTAACATGTTTTCTTGAAAATTAGTTTCTATTTCTTGACTAGCTGACAATATGAGAAATACCAACAAATATACAGCCAGATTGAGTGAGTCATGTATTTCCAATAGCATAAAAGAAGTCTCAGCATTCAAACCATCAGTTCAGCAATGACTGGCCAGCATATCAAATTTGGGGGATATATGCCTGCTGGCTAGCCAGTTGGTTGATCAAAAATCAACCACCTTAACAATTTCATCTCCACATATACCTAAAATAGAAAGGATCTTCAGAAGAAGAACTAATTCAAATGATAAATGACAAGCCTAACTATTTTTGACAGATGATATGACCAAGAATTAAATACTGGCTGAAAGGTGATCGTTGTATATCAGACACATTGGGCATCACAATATACAGACTGCACATCGGCAGTACAAGTCAGGCTACGCGAATTACAACAAACCTCTTTTCCCAACGATTTGCACTGAAGAGAAGATGTATTGCATGATCATCCAACTGCGACTCGTTAGCAAGATATGAAGAAATCATTTGCCCAACGCCTGTATTTCTATCAGGAAATCTCCATGACTCAACTGAATGTCCCTGCTCATCCAAGTACTTGTACAATCTGCCAGATTGCGATGTTTTCCCACAACGGTCCAGACCTTCTAAAACAATTAAGGCACCTCTGGAACTGCTGCTCTCTTTGTTCTCCATATGAATTAGTCTCAAAGGCTTAAAAGGTAAACTCAAATCCAAGCTAGACTTCAACGAAAACCAAGCTGCCCAAGTTCCAAATTTTGTCGGGAAAGTAGAAATCACCTCTGGTACAAAGCTTCTGCCGGAGAACAAAGTTTCCTCCACTTTCAAATTCCTTCGCAAAGAAAATTAAACAGAAACCATTTTAATAAACTAGATCTATATGACATAGAGAAAACTCTGCAAGCTCTTCTTCCTTAAGCTGTGTCATCAAATTCCAACATGCACTTATATCCATAGGCGGATCTAGGATTTGAACTTTATGGGTTCGAGTACGAATTATATCATAGCACAATCGATTTAGTGGGTTCGAAATATATTATTTGTACGGTTTTAGTGGATATTTGAGCATATATACAGAATCTAAGCTAAAGCTACTAGGTTCATATGAACCCATTTCAATTACCCTACATCCGCCCCTGCTCACATCATACACTACACAATAAAGATAATTGCCCTGTGGATTATACTCTTGTTGGCATTTCATCAAACAAAATATGGGCGTATACATTTTGCATCAACTGATTAGGTAATCATTAATTCAAATAATTTTTCATGAGGAGGCTACGTAACAAGAAAGGACATAAGAAAGAAGGGAAAAGGGGAGGGGGGAGGGGGGAGGAGGAGGAATTAAACATTTGTTCATTTTATTTGATAAAGGATTCACCAATTCTATACAAAATATCAATCAATCAATGGATATTTAAGAAAAAACAAATTTCAGCAAAGCAAAGATGAAGCGTTAAGGAGACTTACAATGTCCTTGTGATGGTGAAAATGCAGGCATGTGTCATATCACCGTTAATACTTAATATCTACTACTACCCATCCAAAATCGAGAAAAAGACCTGTTTCCCGCGTCTGTTTTGAAAAGTCTCAAATTTTTTCGCGCCTTTGGTTCTTGTTTATTTTAATTTTAATTTTAATACTATTAGAGGTAGTTTGGTAGAGTGCAATAGAAAAAATAATACATGTATTAGCTTTGTATATTAGTAATATTTTTTACAACCTGTATATAACTAATACAAGCATTAGTTATACATCATATTTGGTATTATCTTATGTATACGTTTGTTATACAAGCATTAGTTATATTTGGTATAGCTAATGCATAGAAACCATAAAATTAGTAATACTAAGGTTATTAATGCATGCATTATCATGATTAAAAACAAAATTATCCTTAAAGTCTCTTAAAACTAAAGAATATAGAAGCCATTTTTGTAAACAACTATTTTTTAAAAAATTACGCAATGCATTTTAGTTTTTAATACACCACACAAAAAAGTGTATAAAAAATAATCTCTGTATAACTAGTGCTTGCATTACTAACTCATGCATTAGTAGTCTTACACATATTCAGCAGTATTCTTATACACCCTACCAAACGACCCCATAATATTTGAAGGTCGGAGTGTAGTTATTTTAATTATACAGTACCTCGTAGATTTTTTATGAGAGGTATTTTAAAATATAGCACCTTTACATAAATAGCCATTGTGTTTCACTATTTACTTTCCTATTCTTACTGATTATACCTATATTATACATGAATTATAATTGAGATACAAACTTAGAAAGTTATTTTCCTTTACCTCTAAATTGTGCAATGTTGAGGGTCTGATTAGCTGTGATTAGGGGTGTACAATGGAAACCGATAATTCGAATCAAACCGAGAAAAAACTCCGACTATGGTTTTGGTTTGTTGTTGGAAAAAAATCGACCATAATTGTTTAAATTTGACTCCACGTTAGCCCGTGATAGCGTCCAGCACTGTTGCTAGACAAGACAACAGTAAACAACTTAGTGATTTTCCATCTTTATTAAGTGATTCCAACAAAGAACTTTCTTTAAATTTAAAACATTTAATAAATAACGAATTTTTAAAGCAACCCAAACGGAAACAAACTAAAGGAAATCATAACTATAGAATACAGTCCAAAACTCAAAGTCTACTAATATGTGCCAAGATCTAGTGTCACAACTGTGCGGGCAACTAGTAGAATATAAAAAGATGATGACTATCCTACTGCCTAAAATAGAATAGACATATACAAGCAAAAGAAAAACTTCGGCATGCTAATGAACGGCTCGGAAGGGGGCATATCACCGTGAAGTCTCGAACCAAGATCAAGTATGTGCGTCGGGCGGGTAACTAGATGCGCCTGCCTCAGACCCTGTACAATTAAGTACAGAATTGTAGTATGAGTACATAAACAACATGTACCCAATAAGTATCCAGTCTAACCTCGAAGAAGTATTGACGAAGGGTCGACTTAGACACTTACTATGGACTAACAATAATATGATTAAAGTGTTATGCTAAGCATGGATATTACGAACAATACTGAAAGCTCAATAACGGAAAGTGATAAGTTCTTCTTTCACAAATATATGTTCAATTTCAGTCATATCATTTAATAGCTTTCAAGATATTCAAGCAATATAAATCAAGGAGAGTTTCAAATAATCAGCATGCGCAAATTATGCCGAGGTCGTATGGTCCGGTCAACATAATATTAAACTATGCATTGCCGAAGGTTCGAATGGCGCGAACCAAATATGTATTTATTTACTACCGAGGCGCTCGACCCGATCCATAAATAGCAATTATTTTCAAAGAAATCACAAATTTCACATTTATAGTCAAACATTCCATTAAATCTTCAAATATGTGAATTTAACCTCTTGCACTTGTTTCATGAAAATTCTGATTGACTCAAGTAATCAAATTAGCAAGTAAGGGTCAAACGTTTCAAATAAGGCAAGATATGGGTCCTAAACTACCCGGACAATAGCATACTAGTTGCTACGTACGGACTCTCATCACCTCGTACGTACTTAGCTCCCACAAATAGGTACACACATTTGTTTAATTCACTTGTAGGGTTAATTCCCTCTTACAAGATTAGAAAGGAGACTTAGGCCTCATTTGTTTGCACTTAATGGAGGTCTGAATCTTAATCATTCAGATCTCATACATTAAGCGCATTTGTTTTTAAAATCTGAATTTTAATCATTTAGATCTTAATCATTAAGTGTGTTTATTTTTTTTTACTTTACAACCACTTAATGGGCCTGAATAGGTCTGTATGATTAAGATCCATAATAGAGACTTATTTTCATTAAGATGCTATCATCCATATTCATTACTCCCACCACCTACTATTATTAACTACTACTACCACTACCACCAACCTTAACCATAGCCGTCACTACTATCACTACCTACCACACCCACCACCATCATCCTCAACCACAACCACGCACTCACCCACCTCAACGACCATAACCAATTACCCCGTCATCATCAACAACCATAGCCGGCATCGCCCACCATTATAACTACCACCACCTACCATCAACTTCCTTTATCACAACCACAGCCATCGCCACCACCCACCATTATTAACATTCACCATGCACCACCACTGTTCTCAACCATAATCGATATTACTATCAATCACCACTAGCTACTACCAAGAACCACCACCATCAACCAAAACCACCACCAACCACGTCTTTAGTCGGCATTCACAAGCACCTCTGTTAGCCATCACTACCACCAACTATCAACTTGTCACGACCCGGATTTTCTGTCCCCGGGAGTCGTGATGGCGCCTACTAGTGAAAGCTANTTGTTATTCGGATCTTAACATATAACTTATTATTCAGACGCGTATTCAGATTCAGATGTCTTAATCATAATACGCATTTTGATATTCAGATATATATTCAGATTCAGATGTCTTAATCTTTAAAAAAAAATGAGGACTTACCTCGTCTCAACGCCTACTTCCCAATTCAAGAATGCGCCCAAACCTCCAATTTTGATGCCAAACGACTCGAAACTAATCAAACATTACATTAACTAATCAATTCATGCTCAAAAATTCATATTTCCACTATTAAAGTGATCACCCAACCCAAATTGCAAGATTCCTAAAATTCACCCCCGGACCCACATGCTCGAATTCCGGAAATTTTTTGAAGAAAGTCGTTACCCATAACCTTAGGAACATAATATATGATTTTTACTACGCTTCATAACAAATTTCGTGGTAAAATCTCATTTTTTTTATTAAACCCTAGGTTTTTCATCTAAACCCATAATTTCTACCAATTTTCATCTTAAAATCTACCCAAAATCTATGTATTAAACTCACATTAAGTAGAGATTACTTGCCTCACAAAGCTAGGTCGAAACCTCCTCCTTAAAAATCTCTCCAATCGCCCAAGTGTGGAAGAAAATGAGTCAAAAATCCCTAACTCTCGTATTAAATGAAGTGCATTGCCCCAGCAATTTTCGCACCTACGATGTGTTGGCCGCATCTGCGGTCCCGCTTCTACGGATGAGGTTCCGTTTCTACGAAATTGGGTACGCCGGATGGGGTCACTTCTATGGACGGATCCCGCTCCTGCGGTCCAATTTATATGGAAAGGCGTTGCATCTGCGAGGCATGAACCGCACCTGCGAGCTCGCACCAGCGGTTGACCAACCGCAGGTGCGGTTATGACAACAGTTGGAGCTTCAGCTCTTGCTCCAAACTTTCGACTTGGTCCGGGCCTCGTCTGATTGACGCTTGGGGCCTCGGCGCCCGCCCGAACGTACCAACGAGTTTGGAATCATAAACGGACTTGCTCAAAATCTCGGAACACCCGAAACAATATTAAAACTAAGAATTACACCCTAAAACCAAATGAATCAAACGTAAGAACTTCAAGTTCTTCAACTTACTTCCAATGCGCCGAAACGTACTTATACTACTTGGAATGATGCCAATTTTTGCGTGCAAGTCTTACATAACATTATGGAACCACTCCCGATCTCGGAATTACGATTAGACCTCGATAACACCAAAACCCGCTCCAAACCAAATTTAAAAGAACTTCTAAAACCTTCAAGAACTAACTTTCACTATTAGGTGCCAAAACGTTCTGGGTCATCTAAAACCCGATCCGGACATACGCCCGAGTCCAAAATCATCATACGAACCTATTAGAACCGTCAAATCCCGATTCCGAGATCGTTTACTCAAAATATTACCTGAAGTCAAACTATGCCTTTTAAGCCAACCTTAAGGAACCAAGTGTTCCGATTTCAACCAAAACTCTTCCAACTCCCAAACCAACCATCCCCGCAAGTCATAAATCAGTAAAAACAAGCACAAGAAGTCTTATTTAGGGGAATGAGGTTCTAGAAGGTAAAATGACCTGTCGGGTCATTACACTTATTGAGATGTAATTTATAAATATTTCTTACACTTTTCATAATTTTATCTTTTAAGGTATTATTATTTCAAGGTTGGACTTAGAAATTTTGAATGTTCCAATAAGTTTTATAGCCATTTGTCACGACCTGAAATTTCCACCATCGGGACCGTGATGGCGTCTAACATCGCGCTTGCTAGGCAAGCCAACGTTAGAGTTTTGTTCACCTTTTTTCCTTTACATTTCGTAGATTAAAATTAAATAAAGATAAATCAAATTGAAATAATTACGGAAGTACATTATTAACAGGTTATCTATATACTATTAACAATACCAAAACTATTACCACCCAGAAACTGGTGTCCCAATCCACGAACACACTATGAATATCTACAAACATTGGTCTGAAAAGAAATTACATCTGTTTCGAAAGAAAAGAAAATAAGAATGTAGAAACATTGGAGGGGACGCCAGGGCCTGCGGACTACCTTGGATCTCCTAGATGAAATACCTGCAACCGACCTCTCGATCAGCCACAACCAGCTTCAAAAACTACACAGAAAGTGCAGAGTGCGGTATCAGTACAACCGACCTCATGTACTAGTAAGTGTCGAGCCTAACCTCGACGAGGTAGTGACGAGGCTACGACGAGGCATTTACAATATAACCTGTATAT